ATGGTATGGTATGGTATGGTATATTTAATTATTCATACTCAAACTTGTGTGTAATGTTGAAAAATGAATGGATGGCCTGAAAGCAACACACTGACAGCCACAACCCACAGGGTTCACAGAATCTATTATTTCTGGCTCCTCAGATGGTTCATGTCGTGAGAAGTCAGAAAGATTTTGGTGTCAACTGGAGGCACCAGTAAATGTTTGTGTTATGGCTTTGGTGTTAAAAGTCCTCATTTTGATCTGTGCTGGTTTATGATAAAATTACAAAAAACAACTCTTTGCAATGTTTTAAGCCAATATCTATTTTTTAGCAATAAAAACTATGATAACAGCCATTGTGCGAAAGTTAATAAAACTGGAAACTAGACGCTACAATGTTCAGAAATCATTTCATTGACTCCTCACGATGATTCATCACTGTTTTGTTTCAATTTCCTTCACTCCAGGGTTCTTGCAGCCAAGCAATTATCAACCTAATTATTATTTTCATTTCTACAAAGTTAGAAAAACTGTGATGGTACAAAATTAGGATGTGATTTAATTAAACTGTCATTTGTGTGACATCTTTTATCTCCATTTTCTTCACTCCAGGGTCCAGTCACTTGTGTGGCCTTCTCCAGGACGGGGGAGTACTTTTCCTCTGGAGGTTCTGATGAACAGGTTATTTTTCTGTTTTCGTTATTTTTAAGGAATTTCATAAAACTGAGCTAATGGATTTGCATGTTGAATGACAGCTGCAGTTTGATTGTAAATGTTCACAACATTTTAAAATAGTGCTGTCCCAAATGCACTTACAAAATGCCCTGATGCTCATAACTTGTATCAATACCAGTTTTGATACTGTGGTACTGTTATCAATACCAGTTTTGATACTGTCGATTCTGGGGTACTGGTATCAATACTCCACTGGATGTGTTGCAATTTACATTTCACTTGAAACATTTTGTTAGTTCCATGTTTAAAGAATTATTACAAGTTGAAATAAAATCATATTTTGTTATTTTTATGTATTTTAATAATTTGCAACAATATATATCACGCTGTATATTTGATTTTGTGCAGTCAAAGGGGCTGTAGGTCTATAAAGAAGGAAAGCCACCTTATAAAAATAAAAGAATTGTGTAATTCTTAAGTTCTAACTCAGTAGGTACTCGGTTGAGGAAAAACTGGTATCGGGACACCCCTACTTTAGAGACTTTGCTTGACATTGATATCTTTTTTTAAGAATAAATAATCTTTCAACAGGTTATGGTCTGGAAGAGCAATTTTGACTGTTTTGAATGTGCAAAACTGGAACATAAAAGTGGAGCCAGTGCCACCAGTCATCTCCCACAGAATTTGTATCCAACTACTGGTACTCTCCGCAGCCAGGTGAGTAGGTATCACTCAGCTGCTGCACTTAAAAAAAAGACATAAGGGAAATAAAACAGACACATAACTTTTACAGTTAAAAGGCCCCGTCAGCCACTTGTCAAATAGCGAGTTTTATCCCTTTGTGGTATTTGGCCTTTCTGCAGGACTTCTAGGTTTTGCTATCTGACAGCAGTTTTACTTCTATGACTTATTTAAACTCACATTATCCCAGGCAGCTCAGATATACAGTGGTTCTGTATCTCAAAACACTGCCAACAATATGATACATTAAAATAGTAAAAGCAGCAAAACGTTATGCCTCAAGTCACCCCTCAATTACAATGCAGTGTGGCTCAATGTACATTTTGATTCAACATAGCATGAGTTCATGTTCTACAATATGACAAAGCAAAGGAACACTCGTGCAATCTGATGAGACTAGTTTCTCATTATAAAATAAAAAAAAACAACTACAAAGAGTTGTAAGGTAAGTACAGAAGACATTTATGGGATAGCTCCAGATGTGTCCCAGTTGTGGTGAAAAGAGTTATGAAGCAGTTGTTTTAAGATGAACCAGCTGTTAGAGGGTAATTATTTCTAACACTGACCTAAAAGAGGCTTAAACATTACAAGTACACAGTACTTGTAATGTCTTTTTAACACTAGCTTACATAATAATATTCCTGGAACCCTCAAGACATTTTTTTTGTTCTTGTCTGACTGTCTCTTTGTGCTCCGAGGAGAGGACTGTAAATGGATTTTAATAGCTCCTCTACTTGACAGCCATTATTACAGATGAGTCTGAATAGGGTATTAGAAAATGGGCAGCTGGACCACGTGGAGAAAGGGGATAAGTATGGTGTATGGAGCATATTCCCTTCTTCTAAGAAGTCTTGTGCTTTTATAACCCAAGTAAGCTTGCTTCACTGGAAAATTAGGTTTTCTAAATCTCAAGCATTAAAGTGGAACCACTTCACTTTTACTTGATTAGAGAATGACTGCGTCTCTTATTTGTTAGCCATCGGTCTTAGAGCAAACAAGCAAGCATGTTTTTTTCATGGTACATCTTCACACTTACAGTGGCTCAAAATTGTGGGAAAATTGCTATTTTTTGTTGCAGTCTCACTGAATTTAGAGTGTTTGCAACCAGTGAACCACGTGGTCAAAAGCTTATAAAACTGCATTCTTGGCTGTGCACATTGTTCTGTCATCCACCTTTGCCCATATTTGGAGTCAAAACTGTTTATTAGCAAAATAATCTCATCAAACATTGGACCGATTTTAATAAAACTTTCAGGAAATATTAATTAGATGTACATCTAAAGCAATTACCATTGGCCAACACAAAAAATGTCTATAACTCAGTTAGTTTTACAGACATTGGGCCTCATGCAAGAACCGTTCATACGCACAGATTTGTTCTTAAGTTGTGCGTACGAGTGATTTAGGAGAATTTGTGGCATTCACCAAATGCCGTGTTCTAAGATTTTCTTAGAAGATTTTTTTTGGTAGCGGTGCGCGACTGCTCCTCCTCTGAATAAATGAAAAGGGCTAACACAGTTGTTTACACTTGAATTAAAAATATTTGACCAAGGGAAAACTGGAGCAGCACTAGAGAGAGATGAATATGATTTAGATTTTTATTTCTGTGACTGTACAACACAAGAGACATGACATTAACAGCATCATTTCATTCCTTTAAGCAGCTTCTTTAATTCCACAGCTGACGCTGCTGAAATTTTTTTTCTCTCGATCTCGGAGAGCAGGACTTTAATCTCCGAACTTGTAAAGTTCTTCTTTTTACTTTTCGCTGTCGTTTTCATGAATGGACACTTCCTTGTATCTGAGGCAGGAAACATAGCCTTATATGGTGCTTTTGGGGTGGTAATTATGCTAATCTCCGCTCCGTGTGCACGAGCAGCTGGATACGAACAGGTGTAATTCATCATGTTTACGCAGCTCATTTACACACTTTTCCTGAAGATAGAAGAGTTTGTTGAATCTGATGTGGCATGTTTGTACGAATCCTTCGTACGAACAAAAGTAAGAGAAATTTAGGATAAGAATATGAACATGTTCTTGCATGAGACCCATTCATCTTAAATTTGATGTGCTCTTGGTTGATAATCATTTCCAACACATGCTCTGAGCATGGCATCTCATGATAGCGTATTTACAAGGTTTGACCAAAACGGCTATAACTTTATTACTCCTTATAAGATGATCCGAGACTAAAACTGTGGCATGAAAGATGGCAGGGAATATGCATTTCTCCAAGGAATGCTATGCCTTTCATTAGAACTATGTAAATATTTTTCATGTAACCAGTGAAGGTTCAAATAAGGGAAAAATGCTTCCAAGAACCTGGAAAGAAAATTAGTGACCAAAATGACTGAGAAAACAAATTTAACCATATAATCTGTCCCAAAGCATAATCCCAACCTAAACCAGGACCTCATACGTGATGCTCTGCTTTTTGAGGACATGACTTAGGTCCCCATAGGGATTTTTYGTCCCAATAATCTTTGTGAGTCTAGCAGGAAATGGAATTATTTAGTAAAACCAAGAACACACCAGCGTTATTAACCCAAAATTCTTCTCACAACAGATTTTCTTTTTCTTTTTACCTTTTTTTTTTTATTGACAAGCGCTAGTTGCTTCTGTTAAATAGTAGGGTATGTACCTGGAAGCATGCACTTCCAAGGTTTTTCTTTTCATGCATAATTTAGCCATTCATAATTTATTATTAATACTAACCCTTTTATCTCATGTACTGCTGCAAGTCTCCTTCACGTGTCGCCTGAGAGGAAGCAGAGAGAAGGAAAATGCCACCCACTTCCATAAATGTGACGGTTTGCTTCGCATTTGTTGGGAATTTATAGCCATTGAGTTGAAAAGAGAGAGAAGAAACAGATCCTTACGTTTAATATATGAAAAGAAGTGCATGTAATGTGCTTTTATATACTCGCTTATTTTCAGAGATTTCAGTAAACAGGATGTTTTCATCAGAGAGCCGCCGTGACGGCGTTTGTGGGACACTTCATCCAGTCATGCATCCAAATAATTAGTTGCAGCTTAATTAAAGAGATGCACAAGATGTTAGTCATAAAAGCCTGTTTGACCAGAAAACTTGGAAAAAAAATACATCTTGAATTACTAGCTGTACTTAATTTAATATCCCAGAAAAAGTTTAGTCGTCTTTTAAACCAATATCTTGCTATAATGGTACTTAAAAATAGAACCTTAGTTTTATTGGATCATGTTTTACTATACTTGGATGTGGAGTTGTGTTTATTTGAGATACAGGCACTAGACCAGAAACATGATGTCCTCACTGCTCAACACAATAGACCAGCTTTCAAATAAAGTCTCAGCTGCTGACGGTTGGGAAAACAGCAGCTCTAGTCTGGTCATCTCTCTGCTCACCGCAGCTGAGCGAACCTTAATTTGCTTTTGCTGCTCCTTCTCTTTCTTGTGTGAGCTTAGGCGTGCATTGATGTATGTATGCGAGTGCCAGCCTTCGCTGACAGGCAGATCAGCTCTCACTGATCACATTGCCCCCAACCCCTCCACCCCCACCCCCCTCGCTTCTTGCTCTGTCTCTCCCTTCACATCTGGGTCTTCCTCCAGCTCACGTGTGCTGACAGATGAGCAGTACTCTCGCAGCAGGCCTCCCTTCACAGCTCGACACACACGCACACAAACCACTACTCTACACTGCTTGATTCAGCTTTAGGGTGATTCAGATGGAATGGAGAGAGGGAGGGGCTTTGTAGACTGCAATGACTAAAGTTTGTTCTCCTTTACATATATGTAAATCGTGAACACTCAATCACAGTGTAATCAGCACATATTCACCAATTATTCTGGCACAGCATCTGCAAGGTGCAAGCATTTAAGCCAGACCACATTATAATAACAGTAGGAGTTGAATGCATTTGACAGCGGTAAAGAGAACAAAAAGGGGAGTGACAAGGGACTGCTGAAGACAAGATCGCAGTCTAGCAGAGCGAATAAGCATCAGTGTGAAGCGGGAAGTAAGAGTTAGAGAGAAGGTAGGTCGAGAGTGAGTGCATGAGCAGGCTAGACAACACGAGTACACTCGAGACAAAATTACAAGTCAAGCAAGACAATAACAAAAATACATAGTTTAGAGCAAGCAACATGCAACCTGTCATGCTTTTGTTACACAAGAAAGCTGATGGTTGACAGATAAAGCTTTTTTTATTGTAGAAGAGAGAGTGAAAGCAGCGGTTAGGGAAACGAGCACAGGCTCCCTTGTTGAATTGGGACGACCCTCGTCACGGGCTTCATTGAATAAAGAACATCACTGACAGTTTTTCATCAAATGTTTGTTGCGCTGTAATTACAATAGCTGAGATGTAAGCAGCTGGTGAGAATGTTTGTCTTTGCTTGTGGTTGGATTATGAAACGCATACATGCACACACCTGCCACCCTCACTAATTTAACCAAGGTAAAAAGAGGTTGTCCAATAGTAAGACGGAAAATTGATTTATGAAAGTAATAATACTTGTGGTAAACCAAACTGTGCAATCTATTTTAAGTAATACATAAAGAACTTTTGTCTAGATGATGGCACTGAGGTTTCTGTTTTCACTGGTTTTTATAGTCAGAGCTTAAAACTGGATAAAACTGGAATAAGTAATAAGATGCTGTGTCTGGGGAAAATGCACTAATCTCTTTGTGTTCTAATGTTCGCTTTGTTGTGACAGAAAGTATTACCGCACTTTGTGGTAAATGTGATGAGCCAGCTGATAGCACAGCTCATCTGCATTCATTTTGATACGTAGTTTGATGTTGTGTTTAGATGAGTGAAAATAGGTTTCCTGTTGAGTATGGATGATTTAAAACCATTGCTTCTCTTGCTAAGATCCACCAGAGATGCACACAGAGATGTGTGCAAGTCTTGCCCAGAGTGTGGGAACACTTTTCAATGGAAAACAATGATCCGGAAACTGCATCTTGCAAAATCTGCTGTTTCTCGTGGTGAGAATAGCAGGGCTCGCTTTAATACTACCAACCTTGTCACTTGGAAAGAAATAAAGCTATCGGATCGGTATCCAGGGTTCCCACGGATCCTTGAAATCCTTGAAAGTTTGTGAATTTGTAAAAATGATTTCAAGCCCCTGGAAAGTTTGTGAAAACAGCCAAAAATTACACTTGTCCTTGAAAGTTATTGAATGTTTTTTGGGGATCGAATTTCTCCATTTCTTTCTCTATTCACGTGACTGATTTTCATCTTTTAACAAAATAAATTATAAAATTTTAAAATAACTTACATTTGTTGCGGTGGAAAACTTGGGATTACGGTAAACTGATGTCATTGTTTCCGACTCAACAATTTCTATGTTTAGTTTTTCATTGAATTTACATGATATTAAACCTGTTTATTGGTAACAATCTGCGGTAGGTAAATGCTRTTGCGCATGGTTCTTTAATTTGAGGAAAATGGTACTGGAAATCAAAAAGAAAAAATAAGTAGGTCCTCTGGATGGGTTCATCTTTAGTGAAACGTTTTGTCTCTCCTCCAAGAGACTTCTTCAGTCGGATGAGTTACAGGTGAACTCAGCCTTAAAAGCACTGCCTCCACCTGGACAAACAGGTTAGTCATATGCAAAAGAGGGCCATCGACTAACAATAGGCTTGATTGGCTCTATTGTTCATAGATGGTCATGTGCCCCATCACCTGACCTGTGTCGTGTTATGTGAATGTAGTGAATGCAAGCGGGGGTTCAACGTCCCCTTGTTTTTGTCCCTCTTTCCCTCTTTGTGTTGGGTATCGTTGGGGYCCTGATTCACACCTTTTGCTCACAGRGGGGCTGAGTCATACTTGCAATGACAGCATTGTAGGCGGAAGACAACTGGACACGAAGGCCTCCACATCTGTTTAATGGTGGATGGTTTTTCTTCACAAAGATGGCTTCCTTTACTCCTCTCTCAAACCAACCTTCCTCTCTATCAAGGATGAGAACATCTTCATCCCTGAAAGAGTGACCGCTGGCCTGTAGATGAGTGTAAACTGCAGAGTCCTGACCCGACGAAGTAGCTCATCTGTGCTGGCTCATTCTTTTGAACAGTGGCTGTTTTGTTTCCCCAATGTATGACTGATCACAGTCCTCCTGACATTTAACAGCATATACTAAATTACTCTGTTTTTGCTGGGGAACTGGATCTTTGGAGTGAACTACTGGTACTGGAAAGTCCTTGAAAGGTCCGTGAATTTAATGTTGACCAAGGTGTGGGAACCYTGGGTATCGGATCGGTATCGGAAAGACTAATCATTAAAAAAATCGGATTGTATCGGGAGCCAAAAAATCTAGATCAGGACATCCCTAGAAAAGACTTGCATTATTTGTGAGTCCAAGTCAAGTCTAAGTCTGTAATAGTAGGGACTTAAGTGCGACTCAAGTCTAAGKCCGAGTCACGAGTCCCCATCTCTGGATACACATACAGACCAGTCACTGTCTAAGAGTTGTGGCTGGTTGGTTCAAAATGCAGTGTAGGAGTGGAGGATGTGGAAGGTAAGTTTTTGGCAGAGAGTTGTAGGACGTTATTAGAGGTTCTCTCTTCGCTGAGTCTTGACCCAACCTTGCACGTTTTGGAGCACTGGAGCTACTCGCGTTGTTATTGTTCAGATTTATGCTGTGTGGCACAGCACTTAAATCTCAACAACACCTGAGGCACTTCAGCACACTGGACAGTTTACCAGAATGTGCTAGCTTTTTTTCAGAGTAGGAAACACCCCTCATTACAAGTCAGTCGTCTTATTTTGCCACTGGGCCTGATTGAAATAGTCTGAGATGCAGTTCTGGTTACTGAGCATCAATGTTAGTGGGGCGGACGTTCTTTTTCTGAGTCGCTAATCCCTCACATTTGGAGAGTGAAGTCTTTATAAATTAATGAAACACCTATCTCGTGTTGAGACATTCCCTTCAGTTAAATCTGAGTTTCTAACAACTTCGCCTGTTCTTCCCTGCAGACCTTTGAATCAGCCGATCCAATGAGCAGAAAGGACTCTCAAACCACTGCTCGCTCTCAGAGTTTGAGCCGCGATGGCAGCCACAGCAGAGCAGCTCACTCTTCTACCCACAGAGATCCCACCGTCAGGTCGTCCTCCRCCCAGGAGAATCCGAGCCAAAGTTTACCGCGACCTTCACATCAGGATGAAGCACAGTCCGGTGCTTCAGATGGAAGGGTTCCCTCTGGTCTGACAAACACCCTGGAGCACATCATGGGTCAACTGGACATTCTCACTCAGGTAAGCAGAAGATGTGTTAATCTGTGATGACAAACAGCAGTGGTACTGTAGCTGTGCCTCACACCCACTCAGTTCAAAACAAGATTTGTCTCTTCTCTAAAAGCCTCTGGTCAGAGATGGCTCACCAACACAAATTCTCAAGTTCAAAAATACTTATCAAAAGGACAGTAACAATGAATAATACATAAAAAAAAAACAAAAATACATAAAACCACAAATGTCGGATCAGATCAAGTCAGCAGTACATCCCCAATACATCCTCTACATGCTACTCTTGGTCATTGTCTGGACCTCCTATCACTCTGTCCAGTCCCTGCTCGTCTGCCGTTTATCAGATTACCGGTAATAGAGAGAGGTACAAATTAATGTTTCAGACGGTTGTATTTGCAAAGAGGTCCCTGAACCTTCTCCCAGAGTTCATAAGAACATATTCTGTCGCAAGCACGTGGGACCCATCAGACAATATGTTCTCAGCTTGCCTGATGGTAGCCTGCTCAAACAAGAATTGTGGAGTAGATAAATCTGGAGTGTTGATAACCTTACTTGCCATCTTCACCAGACTTTGGATTTGAGTTTTTAATTTAACAGTGAGATTTTCAAACCAACCAGCGATGCCAAATCTAAGAATAGACTCAATGGTTGTCCTATAAAAGATCAGCATTATCGTTTTAGAAACACYACACAGTCGAAGGCATCTAAGAAAATAGAGACGCTGGTGAACCTTTGCACGTACATTTGTCACATGTGTGCGCCAGCTCACTATGTCCAAGATTAACCTTCAGGGTGGATATAGCTCACTCACACTTATCCACATCATCATTTACCCAGAATGCTTTGCGTGTAAATAAAACTGCTCCGCCCGTATTAAAATATATTTCTAAAAATTTACAAAACTAAACAGCCTACAGTATTTTTACAGTCTTTATGTTACAGTTAAAATAAATGTTTATCAAATTAAGTYTAATGTTCCAACTAATCAGGGATCCCTTGAAAAGAAAGAACTGCCATCTGTCTCTCCTTCCAGTGTAAAAATAATTTCTTGTAGTGCATATTATATTACATGCAGTGTTGTAACACCTCAGTAAATTTTATACAATTTATTTTTATAAATCACAACAGAAGCAATCTAAGGACATGCAGCGTTTTCAGTGGCCCGCTGGAAATATATCTTCACAGCAGACATGCTAACAAGCTTTTGCCATTACTCTGGAGTGAGACCATTTTACAGTTGAGCTTCCAACACCTGTCAGTGCTGATTTGAGTCCAGTACATCTTGCTAACACTGCCTGGATTTTACACTGAATGCTGTCATATGATTACCATTATCATGAAGAAACTGTTATAGACTTTTTTTCCCTTTTAAAAAAAAATATTTTATGTTTTTGGTCACGGGATTGGTGCCCATATCCACCAGTCAGCGTGAGCAATTTGCTCTGGACAGGCTGGAAGTCCATCTCGTGGCCACATAAAGGCACATGTTTTTGGTCTGTGGAATGAAACAGGAGTGGAGAAAATCCACACATTCAGAGAAGGAACATGCAAACTTCACCCAGAACGGTCTCAGGCCAGGATGCAATCCAGCGACCTTCTTGAGGAGAGGCAACAGCTCTACCAGCCACGCCACCAATTTACCACTTTTAAATTGAAGTTAAACTGTCACGTCACCCGTATTAGCAGCTAACTCGCTAACAGCTTACACTCCATAGTTTGTTCCTAAACAGACCCGTGTAGCAACAAGAGAAAACATTAGTTCCTTCGATGCAAGCATTGTTCTCATGTGTGTCACCATCAAATTATTTGTTTTGGACTAGAGGCTTTATTGTAACACAGTTTGTACCTACCAGTAAGTTATGTGACTTTGTAACAGAGGTCAGTAACTCTAAGGACAAAAGAGTAKAATGTGCTCTGGAAAGAAGACAAAACCGACGTGCTCTAATTTTAGGTGCATAAAGATTTGGTTTCCTCTCCGAATGAAAACCATCGGCCTGTATGTTGTTGCCTGGGGGATTCATCCAGAATCACACACACACACACACACACACACACACACACACACACACACACACACACACAGAGACAGCAATTGCTGGCTGTGCTGAGGAATGGCTCTCTGCATCAGGCTGGTGAGATAAACAGGGTCATATTGATCTGAAAATGGAGACGGGCGGAGTGAGAAAGTGAGTGAAAATACAAGTGCTCACATTAAGCGTGAACCAGAAGGAGATGTTATCTTTTTTGGCCAACCATCACGCGCCCACACATTGTTAAATCCATTGCTCTGGTACATTTTACTGTTTGATTATAAAGTGGGTTTATTAAACTTTACCAGTTTTTTTTTAAATATGGTATGTCATTTGTTATGTTTCATAAAATCAAGCTTTTTGTGTTAATATATTTGTTCCACTTCAGGCTTAAAATATATTACTTTTGATATGTTAAAATGATTTTCTGTGATAGCTTGAATCAGACTGATTTGCTTGAGGAAGTACGAAAGCCAAATTATCTTTTGTTTAGTTGCAGAACAAAGGCAACTTCCTTCAAAATCTCGTTAATTCTTTTTTCATTTCTCATTTACAAGTTATTCAACAGCATTCTGTTGCTTAGATGTGTTCAATGGCACGTTTCTCTCAAAATTTTGAAAGTGAATACTTGGGTACATATTAGATGTTCCGAAAGACAGATGAAAGAAATGTTGACTGGAAAAGGCCGATTTAGCCTCAGGGTCTGAAAAATGAAGCCATTATTGTCTCAAAACCTGGATTTTTTTTTCTGATTGTCCTGAAGAGGTGATCCTTTTGTTGTGTTTTTGAAGATTAGCCAGTTTTTCATTTTATTTATTATTTAGTTATCCTGTTGACTTCATATTTTTATTAGCAAGTTTCATATATATTATTAGACATAATGTTCATATTAAATTTTTGTTCTTAATTTGGTGTCTAATTGTAATAAATCTCAGTATCCTTTAGGGTGCTCCTTTTTTGTTTGTTTGGTTTTTTTCACTCACCAGTAGTATCAGTGTATAAATAAGCAGTAAATCACATAAATACATGTAAGTTGTTTCTGTAGTGGGTTTGTTGATGGTGTAATCTATTATTTTAAGTCACACAAACTAATACAACAGATCAGAATCAAAATATGGAGATATGTTTTTGTATCATGTGCGCATGAATGTATGCGCTGCATTAAAAACTAAGACAATTGTTTCACAACAGAAAAGTACAATGAAGGCATTTCTGAGACGACCTACAGTAAGCGATGCAGCTTGTGCAGTTTAATTCCTTTTGATTAATTTAGTTCAGGATTCAAATACTGCACTGCGCGGTATAATAATTACAAAGCTAAATTTTGTTTTTGTCGTTGCGTTAATTAAATGTTTAGAAGTGATTCATCGCTGTGCTGCATTCTAGGATTGAAGGATGTCCTAATTATAATTGCCCCGACGAAGAGTGACATATCATAGAAAGGCAGGTCAAGACACGCTGACATTCTTACTTTTCTATTGAGCTTTATTTAATCTGCACAAATGGAGAAAAAATGTTTTCACTATTTATGCTTGATGCTTTTCCACCTTTTTCCTTTAATTAGAAAAAAAGGTTTAAGTTAAAGTTTTTGTGCAGTACTAAAACTGACAATCCATTTCCTTACCCACTATTTATTTGATTGATTTTTTTATTTTATTATGTTCTATTCTATTCTATTCTATTCTATTTTATTTTATTTTTTGATCACAGGAAGACAAGTGTTCACACTCACACCTAGGGACATTTTAAAGTTACCAGTTAATCTAACATGCATGTTTTTAGCCCGTGGGAGGAAACCGGAGTAGAAAACCCATACATGCACAAGGAGAACATGCAAACTCCACCCAGAAAGACCCCCCAGCAGATCCTTAAAAAGCATTAAAAGGCATTGAATTCATCAATCCAAAAATAAGGCCTTAATTAGCCTTAAAATGTCTTAAATCAATCTTTCAGAGGTCTCAAAAAACATTGTAGCTAAATAGGGTTATTGTAATCCATCTCAAAATTTAAAATAATTGGTAACATTTATTTAGATTTTAAAAATAATTTACTGAATGCCTCTCAGAGCTAGTGCTCCGAGAGGCATTCAGTAAATTATTTTGTGTTGTTAAAGTCAAGATTTGGATAAAATTGTTGCAGTTTTTTGGGGGATTTTGTCCTCTTAATCTTTTATTTTTGGATTTTTATTTTTATAGATTTTTTTTGTATCGTTTTTTGTGAAGTTGGTCTTAAAGTCTTAAATTTAGCTTGTTTTAAGCTGTAGGAACCCTGTTCAGAGGATCCTGCAAACCTTATAACTGAGAGGCCACAGCTCGAACCACTGTGTCACCGTGCAGCCCGACCCAAGACTAAATCATGAACAAAAGTTTGCTCAGCCAGATGGTGACTGGCTACCCTGGAAATTTCACCTGGACACACCTCTGATCAACAGGCTCATATGGCGCAGGGCACAAATGCAGAAACATGCCTGCAATACCCAACAAACACTGTCGCTGTTGGATGATGCTCAGAGGAAAAGTATGTTGTGCTGTGATCTCACTGCCCACACATGCTGGCCCTTTTTCAACAAAAAAAAACTTTCTTTTGTCGTCTGTGTGCACCAGTGTCTTTATGCAACTGTATRAGAAAGAAAACAAGAAAGGGTATACGCCAGACACACTGACTCTGGTGTTTTCATTCAAAGCAGCTAAAATTCTCAACAATAACTGGCTGGATTGTTTTGCACGCACAGCCTCCGCCATCATGAAATCATTACTGGAACACTAATTCCGTACAGACCCCTCTCAACACGCGTTTATCTCTTACTCATCTTCTTTCTTCCCTTCTTACTTTGTCTTTGTTCCCACTGCATCCTCCCCTCTTTTTTTATTTATTTATGTTTTTTTGTGCGTATTTTTCCATCCAGACTGTGTCGATCCTTGAGCAGCGGTTGACGCTGACTGAAGACAAACTCAAGGAGTGCTTGGAGAACCAAATGGAGATTCGACAGCATCTTCAGAGGAAAGAGGACGACTAAAGGTGGAAGAAATGTTGACAAAGGTGGCCACATTGATAACACGAACAGAAACTGCATCTAAAAGAAGGGGCCCTACATATTCAGTCGCACATTCACGAGTACCAGATGAACGCACACTGAGCCGTACTGCTGATGCACTGCTTATTTTACACAGAAATATCAGGGGTGAAGGAGCTGAATATTAGAGAAGTTCCTCCCCAGTAGTGCTGAGTGCGCAGCCTGTTTTCTGCTGACAAGGGACTAGTCTTTTTGTATACGTGCCTGCGCTGAATGTGTGTTCAGAGCGACTGCCTGTTCAAGTGTCAACGCATACGAGGGCCCCCTGGTCGTGTTTATGTTCTGTCTCCGTTTGTCACGAGCGGAGCGAGATCAAACGTTCTTGGTTATCATAAAGTCCAGATGCGGTAAACAGAACCAGGTAATAGATTGGTGGACGTATTTTAGTAGCAGACATTTTGAAAGTAAAAATGAAATACTTAGCTGCCAAAAAGAACTCCCAACACAGTGCCTTCATTTTATACATCTGATGATCATTTCTGTTTTGTTTTGTTTGTTTTTTTTGCCAAGAAATCCCATGAGAAGATCAAAACTTAGTCACTTATTGATGTTATCAACAATCGTTGGTGATTCTTGAGCTCTTTGTTGCTTTCCTTAAACTGTTAGTAAAGCACTGCTGCTCCAGAGCTACATCTTATTTCCTTAAATCCTCTTGAATCTCCTGTTTACTCACCAACTCGCTTGTGTGTTTACATTGAGCTTTGGGCTTAGCTCTGCAGGCAGGTTTAGAGAGTCAGAAGATGAAGTAACTTGTTTATTCTCAGGTTGACAATAAGAACTCTTTAAATGACATCATCCTCTGACTTTGTGATGTCGTTTTTTTTTTACTTGCTCTTTCTATACTGTTTTGAAAACTTTTAATCTCTGAAGTATGTTATTGTTAATAAATGTTTTACCCTCTTATCCTTGATGTGAAATCCGTTAATACAAGTGTTTGGGATTCTGTGCTGTTTGTGTGCCGAGTCGATGAATGTTTCTTTTCACAATTGCCAAATTAATGATGTCATGTTCAGTCCGCTGAGCCACAACATTTCCCGGTGAAATAATGACCTTCCTGTCTTTATTGTCCTTTTTAGAAGAGATGTTTGAATCATAAGCTGCGAGTTGTGTCATCCTTCRCTCACGGCGAGTAATCTTCAACCCTTTCTCCGCCAGATTTTGTGGGATGATTTATGGCAAAAAGCATGTGGGTGGAAGCAAAATAACCCCGGCTTGCTTGCATCCAAAATCCTTATGTTTCACCCCCGGAGTAATTTACGTAACCTGACCGCTGATGCTGGATCAGTAACTTTATTTTTAGAAGCCTCAATGAAAATGAGCCAGAGGCTGCGCTTGCTGTAATTTYTCAGGGAACACGTTGAGCTGAGCCATAAGTGTTTTATCTTCTTCTCTTTTCCTTTYAAGAGCGGGTAACATGGTTATGTATATGTACTACGACGGTGAGTCACAGTGAGTCCTGGGTTGAGGGTCTCGGTTGCTCGGAGAGACGTTTGTGCGTCGAAGAGGAGAAAATACGGACTGTTCCTTTAAGACCCGATTCTGCCTCTGCACTGATGGAAAAAGAAGAAAAACTAAACCGGAATTCTGGAGCTGCGCTGCCGGGCCCACTCTTTTCCTTCCTGTCTGGGGCCCACGGACACACACACACACATACACACACACACAGTCCAGCCAGAGAAAACAGCTCCCTTTACTATGGGCCTCAACCAGACAGCCTGCCAGGAGCTCCAGTGAAGGAGCTGAAAGAGGAGGCTCAATAATTGGTGACTGTTTGTGGGGGGGCTCCTTTTATGAGGACCAGGTTTCGTTTCAAAACATGGAAGAAGTTGTTGTAGTAAAGTGAACAATATTTTTACTGGGCTGTTTAGATTTTTATGGTTAAAGTTACCATTTGAGGTGAAATCTTCTGATTTATCAGCTGCTTGAGTCACAGAAAATTCCTCCCATCTGAATAGAAAAGGATATTCAGTCTTTTAGTTTTGGACACGAAGCATCTTTATTTAGTTATAACTTCCCAGGGCAGCTTAATGAGTCTTCTAGTAGTTCCTGTGTAATTGTACACAGCTAGATGTTTCTTCTGGTCTGCAGCGATGCTTTGTGTCAAAAAAACAAAACAAAAAAAAAGGTCTGTGTATGAGGAAGAAAGAGAAACGAGTCGAGGAGCGAGCCCCTGTAATGTGTAGCTCATGTGTGACCACATGTGTGTGTAGGAGGGGGGTTGGTGATCCTACGAGGAGAACATCTGGATATGTTTTTACTGGTGTGCTGCGGCTGGCGCTGCCGTTTGCCTCGCGTCTTCTACTTCAGTGTGTTGGGGTTTTGCACTCCTTTCTTTGTCTCAGATTTCCTCCAAACCCGCGGTTCTTCCGACAGCCTTATGCAACAGAAACGAGACGTGTTGCAGGAAGCGGTGACTGCCACCGGGCAATTTGCTCAAAGGTTTTATATACTGTTTGTACTCATTTATTTATATACATATCCAGTTTGTGTTCTTAGAACTGCAAGTTGAAGTGACTACTTGTTCTATGAAGTAGCACTTCTGCCTGAAATACTGAAATAGATGTGTCATTGTGGTGGACATTGCTCTATTACTGACAAGGAACTTGTGGTTTTGTAGATCTAAGATGATTAAAGTGAAGAGGTTTGAAATGAAATGATCTACATTTCTCAGAAACACAAATCTAAGCTGTTCAGAGCAGGGTTTTTTTGCAATTGCAATAAAGTCGTAGCCTTCACCTGCTGCAGTTTGTGTCAAAGTTTAAACTTGTCTTAAACTGTCATTATTTATCCATCCAGTTTGTAGCCAAAGGTGCTGAAAGATAAATGAAGCCGTGTAAACAGTACAGTGTTGTAACAGGTGCATGGGTTCACCCAAACTGCAGAACTGTGAGCTTTAGTTCGGCTGTGTTTCAAACTAATGCTTGGTTTTTTTTGGCAAAGCTCCTCGAATCCTCATTTCCTGGTTCACCCCCTCCCCCACTTTTTTGCCCCTCCTCCCC